ATGTAATTCAGATTTCATTATACTCTTTTGTAATAAAATTAAGAAAATCAGATAATAAAACAGTATATATTTTGAATTTTACTTTTACGTGAATACCTCATTTAGTGATCCTTGATCGTCTACAAAAACTGATATGAATAAAAAAAAATTTTCCAAAAAAAGAAAACAAAAAACACAACGTAAATATTTAAACGATATATATACATTGAATAAGGCAACAAACAAAAAACATGTTATTTTAAATATAGAATTATTTATGTTTATTCGCTTGAGAACGAGATGGATTTTTTCGAGAATTGCTTGTATTCAGACCCGAACTCAGTTGTTCTCTTGCTTTTCCACAAGCTTGTGCAAGATCAATATCTGATAATGGAAGTTTATCCATTTTGATTAATAATGTATCAAATGGGAGATTTTTTGCTGTTTGTTTGATAAGACCTACAAGATCCATTGGATTATCACATTTATGTGCTTTTGTAACGGTATCAGGGGAACCAGTTTCAAGTGTTTCACGTACAATAACAAGAGCTAGACGAAATAATACTTTAACACCTTCACAAAAGAACATATCCCAAATACGAAATAATTGTGGTGCACGATATGTTCGTGAAAATAATGTCATATACCAATCAAGTGTATATAATATTGGATCAACATCGAGTTTATGCTAGAAAATAGAAATGATGATAATTGTAAACATCAACTCTTCACAAACTTAAGACTTACTAGTAAACGATAGCCTTTTGATGAAATTTTTTGTATGAGTAATTCTGTTGCTAAAGCATCTTCTTTAACTGCCATTAATCCATCACTAAAATATCCTTTCACATATTCTTCATTGATTTGAACAAATACCCAGAATGCTTGTTCAGGTGGTAAGTGCATTAATAAAATAGCAGCAATAGGTGCTTGAGCTTGGCAATAACCAACTGCTGGATCGTGGACAGCATATGCTTTAAGCACATCAAATAAACTTTGTTGTCTAAAATAATAATTATTTATAAAAGATTTTCTTTATCATTAAATATTCTTACCCGCATCCATCATCTCTGAACATTTCATGATCAGGAAAAGATCTTGCAAGATCTTTTCTTATATCTTCAAGAACATTTAATGCAGGTGTTTGTGTTAAATAAAAATTAAATACACTTCCTGTTGGACAGTTTCTATCTGCATTTTCATGTCGGTATTTAGCTGCTGATAAATGATACCAAGCTTGACCACGTACAGATGGTGGTATACCTTTCCGACAACGTGCTTTAACTTTATCAAACTGTGCTCCAATAAATGAAGACCATCGTGCAAACATATCAAGCCATTTTTGTTCTCGACGACGTGCTACTGATGCTTTTACTGATTCTTCCATTCTATACACACGAAAGAAAAAAATCAATTAAAAATTAATTTATAAATGTAAGTTTGGGTTTTTCTCGTAGATCTTAGTTTCTCTAATAAAGAAAGAAAAGAAGACATTGTATATTTATTAGCAGTATTAAGCCCTCTCATCTAATGATCCTACAGGGAACAACCCAATACGGACGTCGATAATTGCAAGATGATCTAAGAAATTTGAGATAGAGTGACATAAGTACAGAACAAGACACTACAGTGTGTCTGAAAATTCAGTAAAGTATCTCAATATCATCTGCGTTATTAATTACTATTGATTCTGATGAACTGTGATTTGCACCCAAAAAATCTACATGTGTGATATAACGTTTGTTGCGATAGAAACATCTAATTGATTTCCTTATCTATTACCACTAACTGCGCTTTTCATTTTTATAGAGTTATTCCAGCAGCAGGTGGGCGCTCAAGGACGTCGCAAGCCCTTTCATATATCTTATTTAATACGCATAAGATAATTTATCGAATGATCACTCATGATAGGTGAAAGCGAAGAAGAAATCATTTCTCCAACGCCGGCACCCAGAAACTCGTTTAAATGATGTATAAAGGAAGTGATTAAGATTTGTTCATTGTAAATCTATAATCAAATGACATAGACATCAAACATCTAGTAAGAATATCACCGGGAAAGTTCGTTTGAATAACTAGGAGGATTTCTACATCAATAATAAAAAAAAATTTTCTTACTCAAGTTCATCAGGTGAAACAAAAAATCCATATGTATTTGGTACTTCATCACGTTCTTGTTCACTATTAAGAGAATAATTATTGACCATTTCTTATTCAATATTTAATATCATCTAAAATTACAAATAGATTCAGAACTATCACTTTTCTAATTCGTTTCTCTTTTCACAGACAACATTATTAAAATATATAAAATTAAACTTAAACAGACAATTATATCTATCGAAAAAAAGAAAACAAACAAACAAAACTTCACAGATATATATATACATAGAAAATAAAATAAAAACAACAACCACAGATCAATTAGAGATTCATTGTTTTTTTTTTAAAAATGTGCACTATCATCATCATCATCAACTAATAATAAGTCTTCTTCGTCATTATTATTACTATTAACTAATACTGTTTCCTGGATTTGATTTGGTTGTGTATGATAGTATGCATGCAAATGAAACTCTTCATTTTCATACGGTACTAATTCATCAACTATAGATCGAAAAGATATTCGATCACCGGGTGAAAATGTCCAACAAGCACGCATTAATTTATGTCTAAAATTAAAGAAATTTTAATCCAAGAAAAATGAATATAATCAAATTTTTATACAAAATTTCTGGGCAATTTAATGGACGTTCAAGTGTTATATTTCCATATCGAACATAATGAACAACTTCTTCATTACCATAACCTTGATAGGGTTGTTCAGCTAATGTAGCTATTTCCCAGAGAAGAACACCAAATGACCTGAACAAAACAAAAGTAATTTTATTATAAAATAGAGAAGAAAGTTTTCTTTGTTTACCAAACATCGGATACAGTATCAAACCGGCCATCTCTTAAACTTTCTGGTGCCATCCATCGAATAGGAAGAAAACTTCGACCACCACGTCGATAATAATCTGTTTCATATATATCACGAGTTAAACCAAAATCTAAATAGATAAATATTGAACATAAAACATAAGTATTTTTTTTCAGCTTGTATTTTACCTCCAACTTTGCATGTATGATTTCCATTAACAAGGCAATTTCTTGCAGCTAAATCTCTATGTACAAATTTTTGATCTGATAAATAATACATTCCATCAGCTACATCTAATGCTAATTGTATCATAGCTGATTCCGATAATGTTGGTTCATTTGGCTAAAATAATAAGTTTTAGTTGTTTTTTTTGTAATCTTATTTTAAACGGAATAAAATACAAACATTATGTTCACTTTGTCGATGTCGATATAGATAATTTTTCAGATCACCATTCTCCATTAATTCCATAACTACATATGGTGGTCGAATACGTGAACATATACCATATAATTGTATAACATGATGACATTGAAATTGTCTAGAATAGATAATAGTTAGAAGAAATTTTTCTTTTTACTTATTTAAACAAACTTCATTATTGATGCTTCTTGTAATAAATCAGTTGGATGAGTTGTTCGAAGCTTTAAGAGAAAGAAATATTTTAATAAAAATAAAGAAAATCTTGATGTTTCTATTACTTTAACAGCACATGGTGTTAATGTTCCATCTTGTAGTTTCAAAACACCTTTATAAACTTGACCAAAATGACCTTGACCAATAAGTCCTTCTAATGTAACTGAATCTTTATCAATTTCCCATTGATCTGGTGTATATAATTCTAAACAAAAAAAGGATGCATTTCCACAAAATAATATGAAAGTCAAATTAACAAACCATAATTAGGATTTTTTGAAATCGATGCTTTTGTATCACCACGACCATATTTATAATAATAAAATGGTGCACCAATTATAATTATTGATAAAAGTAAAATTGAACCCGTTATTAATATTATTAATATAATACGATTTTGTCGAGTTAATTCATTACCTAAAATAAATGTATATTTAATAAATAATATATAAAAAATTCTTGTTTCTGTTGATTTTACCGGGTAAATCTTTTGTTGTAAAAATTAATTGAAAAAATAAATTTGTTGTATTTAATGAATATTGTTCATCATTTATTACTTGTTTATCTTTATATTCATTATCTAATCTTGCTATTGTATATGTAATTATTCTTAAACGATAAGTTGTTCGTGGTAAAAGTGTTACATTTACGGAGTGTGTATCATGTCCAACACAACGTTCTTCTTTTGGTCCATTATTACTATCTTGTCCGATATATACCATATAAAAATAAATAAGTCCATTTGGTTGCAATGGTTTCGACCATGATATATAATAGTTAAATGATTTCGTATTTCTTGTTAAATGATTTGAATTATCGACTGGAGTAATAAGTTTAACATTACGTACGATATCACGTGATGCTAAAAATCAATCAAAATATATGTTTAATAAAAATTTCTAGGAGTTATAAATACATACGATCACCAGCTTTTGTTCGAACAGTTATTGTAATTCCAGTATGACTACAAGCATCAGATAATACTTGTGTTGATATATCATGACATGCATAGACTTGAAACATATATAATTGTGCTTCTCTTAAACGATCAATAATAACTCGTGTATTTGCTATTGAACGATTATAATCTGTAACATATGGTTTATGTTCAACAACAGGTTGTTCCTGAGAATCGGATTTTAATTGATCATTAAAAGCACTACTTTTATCTTCGAAATAGTGATCTAAATCATTGATAATTGTATCTTTAAGTTCTGGACGAATAAATAAGGCTTCTTTTCGTTGACTAACAGAATTGATAAGTTGATATTCAAGTACTGATAAATCAGTAACAACTTGATCAATACCTTGACTTTCTTCGGCATCTTCATCGAATTCTTCATCATTATCTGTAATTATATCATTAGCTCGAGATTTTGGTCGAGGACAACGTGCTGCTTGTGTATAATTCAAATCAGTTCTTCGAGCATTTACTTCTGATGGCCAACGATCTAAAAACAAAAGAAATTATTTATCGTCTTTTTTTTGTCTTTGATTTACCCTTCATTAAACAGAGTAATTTCCAATTATCTACTGGTAAACGATCTTCAATCGGGGCATAATAAACGAGATAAGTTGCTATTGGACCATGAGATTTCGATGGTGGCTGCCACATTAACTCAATTGTTGAACGAGATAATGATTCACCACGTAAATTAACTACGGATTCAGGTTGTCGTTGTAATGTACGAAAATATGCAATTGGAGAAAACAGACCAACTGTATTAACATTCGATGTGATAGATGCATAAACAGCATACCATTCATCACCAAAAAGTGATGTTAATTCAACACTCATTGTAAATGAACCTCCTAAAAAGATATCTTTTTATTATAATATTTTCATCGAAATTACAAAATACAGGAGAAGAGCTAATGCTAAGAAACTTCACAAATCTTAGATCTATTTTATATCTTAATGATAGTAACAGCAAGAATAATATGCTCGTTAAAACATTAGCACAGTTCAGTCGATTGACTTACTCTCCTATGCATCATATATTATCTCAGATGGGTATGAAATATAATATGTAGCAATAATAACTTATAAATATATATTCTGAACTATGGTAATCTAATTCCCATGCAAAGATCATAGTGCAAATAATCAAAATATCGGATAGAAGAAGAAATAGACAATCATTTTTCTATACTACTTTTTCAAACATATACCTATAGTTTTCAATGAACTATTTATAATCGAAGAAGAAAAAAAAATGTCTAATCAAATTTCAATGATATTATTTTAGACTAAATATGCTAAGTAATTATTTACCATGTGGTGCTAGATTATAATTAACTTTTTCAACTAATCTTAACCATTTATGTGATTGTATAGCATCAAAATGTGTTTCATTTTTTGTTCGTGTTGGTTTATAATAAACAGATAAGAATGGTCGACGTAAATGTTCAGCTTTGCCACTTGAACGAAAAAATAATTCTTTTGGTACAGCAACATTAACTCGTGCAGTTAATGAACGTATTCTGTCGATTGTTATTCGTAAAAAATTTGATTCACATGATGCTAAATATCCATTGGCATATTCATTCATTGTATTTGGTGTTACTTGAAGTTCTAAATATACGAATATTTTTCAAAAAAAACCATTTATCAAAGAAATGAAACTAACCTTTTTCATGTGTCATTGTATAATTAACAAAATCAACAATTTGTTTTAAGCATAAACGTGCATTACGAACAATATTTAAACTTCCTTGAATAATAGGTGGTGGTTGTGATAATGGCCAAAGTTCAGTTAAAAATTCATTTTCTTCAATAGTTATCGTTGCATTTGTTGTTATACCAATATGATGAAGTCGAGAAAACATACTTAATGATGAAAATACTTTAGCATTATGTATAGTAAATTCATGATCAATTTGTTCAAGTGAATCAAATGCTGTAAATGCTTCATTAAAATTATTTCCTCGATTTTCAACTGTTGCAATATTATATATATTTAATGTATGTACACGTGAACAATATCTTAATGATTGAAAATCTCCTATTGATCGAATATGTTTTTCTTTACATGCACCCATACAATAATTATTAGCTGGTGATGATGTACAACGAATACAACGTGAACCTGATTCACGACTAAAACCAGATGGACAAGATATAACACATTCACTGACTTCTTCCAAAATAAAACCAGAACCCATAAAGAATGATGTACATTCTGTTCGAGTGACACACAATGAACCACCAGTCTAAAAGTAAATTTATATGACTACTATCAGATGATAGACAGTGGCGTACATAGGAAGGGCACGTGGGGCACAACACCCCCCCCCCCCTGCTTCCGAAAACTAATAGCAAAAAAGGGGTTTCTGCCTCCCCTGCGCCTAGAAAGTTCACTTTTTTTGACCATTGAAATAAAAAAACTAGGGTTACGCCCCCCTGCACCGACACCTGACTTACGGCCCTGATGATAAATAGAAAAAAAAGAAAAGAACTCAAGTTAACCAAGTAAAGTTCGAATAGGGAATGTTAATTATTATATTTAATATGAAACGAGCTAATAAACACTTGAAAAAGGGTTAACTTAGACTGACAAAATTTGTGTCAAGGACATCTTTGGCTTAAAATCTGTTATTTAACTATGGGCATAAAACTCAATTATTTGTCATTTAATGAAAGAAATAATTCATAATTTACTTTAAGCATATTTTGTGGACATTGTTGTACACATCTTCCAGTAGCATAAATTCTCATATTTCTACAAGCATTACAAATTAAATTTGATGGTTTTGTTATATTACCATAATAACATCCACCAACACATTCAATCGGACAACAAACTGTTTCTGATAGACAATTTCCTTTACAATGTGATGAACATCGTTGTTGACATTGTGTTGGTGACCAACATGCAGATGGACATGTAGGACAAAAAGCACAATTATCACGATTTTGTCTTGTAATAACTTGTGTCTGTTTTGTTTCCATAATATCATTCCAACGTAAAGATTTCGCATAACATAAATGAGCATTTCGTGCTATAATTATATTTCCTCGACGTATATTAATCAATGATGTTAAACCTAATTCATCTAATAAAAAATTATCCATTATAATTAACGAATAACTATGATATAATTCTCTTCCATGTATAATTGATAAACGTGGAAACATCGATGAAAATGAACGCAATGATGAATAACCTAATAATATATAACCATAAACTTCACGAAGATATGGAAAACGTATTGGTGTTGTCGTTGTTGTATTAACATTTGTTAACGAATGCATTGGAGCATATGTCACTGACCCAAGAATTATTTCACAAGCTGCTAATGCATGAACATCAAGACCACGACGTAATTCAAATAATGTTACACGAACATCACCACATACTAGAAAATAAAATTTTTATAGACATTCAAAATTCTTTTGTCTTCAAAAAATGATTTAATTATTTAATACGCATGGAATTTTTCTATGATATTCTCCGCTAAATAAAATATGTCACTTTAATTTATTTTACATGCTTGGTTAGCACTTTAATTAATATAAAAATATGCGTCACGCGTCTGAGGAACTCTCTCCGATGTCATTAAAATTTTTTTACACGAAAAATACAATAACAAGTTGCAGGAAATGATACTTGTAGCAAACTTTTGTGTCATTACCTTTGGGTTTTGGTTTTGCAATTGCTATAGTATCTTCAGTTACATTCTGTTCAGCATATGCCATTAAAATAGAAAAATATAATATAATACGAATCACATAAAGCCTAAATTTGATCATCTAAAATAAAAATGAATACAGAAAAAATTTTTTGTTTTTTCTAGATTATCAATAATAATCCACATAAATTAAAAATATATATGTTTGTTAGTTTTTTTTTCTTTTATAAGAAGACAAAAAAAAGAAGAGACGCCCAATACCAATTGATGACATATTAAAGTAAAATATTTTCCTTTTTGAATTATATATAGATATATATATAGAAGAAATAACAAGTGCATGCATAAAAAAACGATATACTTTTGATATTCTTATATGAACTAACGTCGAGTTGTTTTTAATTTTGGTTTAGTTGAACTTGTAAGAACATCATTAAAAAAAGCATCAGTATCCCAATCGTTCTTTGTTTGACTTGCCGGTTTATCCTGTGACCATGAAGCAGCGTTTATAGCACTAGAAGATTTGACTGTTGTTGATTGAAATGATAGTGATGATGATGATGGTGCTGGTGCAGATGGTTTAGAAAAATCATCATTAATTTCTTGTGTATCACCCCAATCATTTGATTTCATATCATCCCATGGTGTTTTATCTTCTTCATCATCATCAATAACATCATCATCATTTGTTTTATTAAAATATGAAGCTAATGCTGTCGATTGACGGCTCTATTTAAAGAATAAAAAAAAAGGAATTTTTTCTTTAATAAAAAAAGCCAACACGTTTTTATATTTACTTGTTCTTCTTTTTCAGCTCTAGTCTGTAATTTAGTTGGTACACTTGTTTTTACAGGTGATTGTTCATGACTTGTATGTCCTATATTTTTATAATGTGATAAATAGACTTATGTTATATAATACAGAAAAAAGAAAGAAAGAAAGAAAGAAGTATATCGTTCTTTATCGAAGCTTTCTTTTTTTGTTTATGTTAGGTAAGAGAAAAATGACAAGCGAACAAAAGAAAGAGAAAAAAAGAAAAAGTGTTTCAACCACTTAAGAAAAAAATAGTTTATTAACGAGCGATCATAGGTAGGTTACTAATCATACAATCAACTCGTTTATCAAGGTGATGTTTATGATTCTGTAGTTTCTACCTATGAATATAATATACGATACTGACATACAGATTAGTATCTTGATTGATAAAGGTAAAACTCATGTTTGATTAACCAATGATATTTTTTTTTGTTGTTCAAAAACAATAATCGATTGTTGAACGAATGATTTTACTAATCGAATAGACATTTTTATTTTTTTATTGTCGAGATGAAACATTATATTTTATAGAAAAACAAATAGTAGTGTTTCTTTCTAATGAATGAAGCAATAGAAATATATTTGTTTTAATGTAGAATGTGTTTATCATATACTAAGAGATCAGTGAAAAAGAAATGTTTGTTTCACTAGACGGGAAAATATATTAATTTTTTTGCATGTGATATAGAAATTAATATTTTATGTATGTTTACCATTCTTCTCCAGTGGAGCATGAAATAATATTTTATGAAACTATTCATTTTAAATTAGATCAACGACACGAATAAATTACTAACCTTTGGGTGTTGTCGAAGTATTTGCTAAAGTATTTTGTGAATCATTTTTTGCTAAAGTCGTTCCTGAATCACTTTTTGCTAACGTTAAATTAACGGATGGTTGCTGTGGTTTTGTTGTCAATTTACCAATATTACTTGAAAGTGATGTTAAAGCCCATGATGTCCATGATGTTTCATTTGCTGCTGTTCCACCAACGTTAGTTGAATTAACTTCTTTTTCTAAATAGAAAAATTTTAATTTATTTCCGTATAAATAAAAATAAAATCTATTCTACCCATTTCAATCGCTAATTCTGGTTTTTCAGAAACAGTTTCTAATTTTTTAATAAATACTTGAATGGTTTTAAATGCCTATTAATAAAATGAGAAAAATTATGTCAAAATTATTTTTTTTCTCTATACTTGTTGTCGAACATCAAGTTCAGGATCAATTGTAGCATGACACACGATTGGTAAAATTTTTGTAGCAATATCTTTTAACGTAAAAAAACGTTCGGAATGATTAAGTGCATAAATGGATGCTTGTCGAGATGGTCCAAATGGATCTTGTGTACCACGACCAAATGCAGATATAAGTAGACGAGCACGTAACTAATAAAGAAAAAAAAACATCATTTTATTTTCTAAGAAAAAAGATTGCTTACACTTGGATTTAATAGTGCTGCTATTTTTCCAAGACATACAATTGTATTCGTGCGTATAACACCTTGATCATCACTTGTTTGTA